TTGCACGATTCCATCAATATACAAAATCCAAAACAATTTAGGAAACAATCAAGGGTAATCAAAATCATCCCAATGGAAGTTACATTCGACCTCATTAGCTGATTAATACAAATATTTCATTGCAAAATCTACACGAAGACATGTGCTTCTTCAAAAATATTCCACGATGATATCCGCTATGGTAGATGAGCCAGGAATCATCGACCATCCTGTTTAATATAAGCTACATATTAATTAAAGAAATGTGAAAAATTACAAATGTCTAAATTATATATAAATTTCATGTTAAGCTTCACTATACATAGACATAAAAAAAGAAACATAGAAACATCCAAATATTGTTTTTACCATATGATCAGGACCATCAAAATTAGAAGAGAAACTCGTATCATTCAATCCGTTTAAGCCATCCAAAACATGAAGGTGATTTTCCTGTTAAAACAAACATTTAATACTTAATAGAATAAAAAGAGATATGTTAATTTTAAATAAAATTCATCATGCTTACGTTCAATAGTTCTAAAAATGACATTTGGTCAGGTTGGTGCCTCTGACTTGGTTGACACACGTTAGATTGGTTCCCAACACATGAACTACCATCTGGTCTCACAGTTTTTCCCTTCTTCATTTTCGCATTCATTTGTGCCTGATTCATAAAATGCGTTAAATAGTTAGTGACCAAGTAAATTTTAAAACAATGAAAAGCTAAAAGTAAATTACCTTTGTTTTCTTTGCACCAAGCTCAAGTGAACTTTTCCTCCGAGCCTTCCGCGGTGCACCTTTTCTTTTGGTGAAATATGGGTCAAATATTTTATCCCCTGAAGTTATTCCCCGTTCTATTTCACCATCACAACTATTTGGCTCTAAATTACTACCGCTCAATAAATTAGACCGCAAAGCCGCCAACTCCACTGTTTTCATTTCGATCCATTTTTTAACATCCTTGAACCCGGACTCGGTATGTGCTGCAATATCTGCTAGCCTTGTGAAATCACGACACAATTCATCATACCTTTCTTGTCCTGGTGCAACTATCCATCCGTTGTAGTTGATCTTGATCCGCATGTATAGCCGACTCACATCTCTTCTCCATCTTCGTAAGATATACTTATCTGGAACAGACCACACATGATTCAGGAGGAGGACTGAAATCGCATGTTTGCATAGAATTCCCCTGAACTCAAACATATGGCAACTACAGAAAACTTCACACTCTCCACGATTAAATGCCACAACAAGTGTTTTTTGTTTAACTATTTTTCCATCATGTTGAACATCCTCGACTATTTTGTACTCTGATCCAAAAGGAACTTCAATACTACATTTAATATTGCAGTACATCTTGTGAGTCAACTCTTTCTGAAACTCTTTAAATTTATCCCTAGTGTATGCAACTTGAAATTGTCTCTCCATTTCATATACGCTTACGCATGGGACAGTTTGTGAAAAAGAGCGGTAATCTGCTTCAAACTCTTTTTCCACCTTACTTCGCAAAGCAAGCTCATACTGCTCAACAAATTGTTTTAAAGAGGTCTTGGAGTGGAGATATCCGTCGAAAAATGAATTCATACTCTCACTCCGTTGTGTTGATGACATTCCTGCCCAAAATTGCATATTTAGAAAACAAGGAACCCAACAAAATCTTTCTACATATAATCCTGTCAACCATTCATTTGCTTCTAGCTTATAATTGATAATCATTAAAGACCACTCTTGTTCAAATTCTAGAGCTGTTTGCGACTCATAAACTACTGCTCGAATAGATGAAAAAAGTGCATCTTTATGGCTATGATATCCAAGCTTTTCAGGCAATTTTTTTAGTATATGCCAGAGGCACCACCTGTGCATAGTTTCTGGAAATACAATTGCAATTGCATTTTGCATCGCCCTATCCTGATCAGTTATAATCCCAAGCGGATGTTGATGTTCCATGCATTCCAGCCAAACTTTGAACAACCAAATAAAAGTATTTGTATCCTCACTAGAAAGAAGAGCACAACCAAGGAGCATTGATTGGCCGTGATGATTAATCCCCACAAATGGAGCGAAAGGCATATCGTACCTGTTTGTCAAATAGGTTGTATCAAATGAGACAACATCGCCAAACTCCTTATAAGCTTGTCGACATCTATTATCAGCCCAAAAGACATTCCGTAATCTATAATCCTCGTCCTTATCTATGCAGTAGAAGAAACCTGGGCTTTGGTTATTCATCTTTGAGAAATAAGCTTGGATAGCAGATGCATCTCCCTCTCTTAACCTCAGCCTCCGAACTTTATCAATATAATTGCGACAGTCTTTTTCAACAAATGTCATGTTCTCGTATCCCCCAGACCTGACAACATGAGAGTGAAAACTTTTATGGATTGTTATTCCTGCAATGTCATTGAGTTGCAAATCCCTTTTCACTGATTCATTAATCTCTCGATTGCATCGGAACATTCTGGACTTTGTAGGGGTTGTTGGATGATTGTGTTGTAGCTCAACAGCTATGATGCTCCAAATTCCAGTAGCATCTGTGCTTGTCGTCAACTTAGCTTTGCAACCGGTTTGACTTGTTGGGTGAGGATTAAGTGGATTGCATGAATTCCCAGATCTATTGCCTTCACGACTGCATGTATATGTCACGCTTTCAAGATCTCCGCTATGGCCTTTTCTGGAGCTCCTCCTTCTAACAGGAAATCCCACGCGATATGCGTAATTTTTATAGAATTGATATACCTCATCAACGGTGGAAAATTTCATCCCAATTGTAGGAATATTTTTTGGTGCATTCTCGTTGTCTTCCCCAACCTTGGCAGGACCATCCTCAACTCTAGAATCATTTGAGTTTACCATCTCCTCACCAAGCTCTATAATTATACTTGATTCCTAATTTTTTATATCATCAATAAAACAAGCAAACATATGCAAAATCATCAGCACATTAATGAAGAATATGCATTAATTCACATTTAACACAAGTAATTAAAAACTCTATTTACACCATGATTAAAGCAAGCATCTAAGATATGAAGTTAGAAATATTGAGCAAATAAATCAAATTGAATCTTATCATGCCTAGAAAAATTGAACAAAGCTGCGAATTTATCATCACTTTTGGAGCAAAGGCTATTTTGAAAAATAATAGTCCCAACAAATTCGTAGTTTCATACAATTCTCAACAAAGAATTAAAATCACCAAAAAGTACCCCAAGATTATATGTGTAAAGAAAAATCAGGCCCTTGACAAGAGAGGAGCATCAATACTAAGAATGGTACATGGTTTTTTACAGGTCAATCATTTTTCATTCAAGATGCTGGTTGAAGCTTCAATATATCACCAAGAAACATATCAATTTTAGATTTCTCTAAAATTCCATTAAAAGCCCTCTGAATTTAACTAACATAAAAAAAAAATGAAAAGAAAAACTAAACAATAGAATTCTCAAGTGAAGCTACACACTTACATGCGTCATTCATATTGAATGAAATGGGTGAAGGTAATTTCGTGCGGCAAGCTCGAGCAGGAGAAGAACTAAAATTGATTTTTTGTGCGCAAGGTGCAAGCAGAGGAAGAACAAATTTTGTGACGTTTGGTTTCTTTGGAAACCTAATAATTGGGTTTTTTTAATTTATCACGATATTTTAATTTGAGATTATCAAAATTTGTCGTGATTGTATATCTCATTGTACAAAGTCGTTGTACAAATAGCATTTCTCATAAAAAATGCCTCATATATTTGCGTTTTGGCCCGTTGTGGTTGTGGTCGGATTGTATCAGTACTTTTTATTAGCGTTTTGGCCGTGAATGAGATCTCTTATATCGTTGAAAAAAAAAACGATGCCTCATATATGACAAAAATTTCACTAAATAATTGAATGATAAATATATAATCTCTTATTCAGTCTTAATAGTCAAAATCACACTGTCACCTTTTCTCTCTCTTATGGTTGAGATCCTCACTCTTTCTATTATCATTCTCTATTTTTTTTTCACAATATCATTCTCAATATTGTAAGTCTATTTCTTACATGTAAATGAAACTAAATTTCAATGTCATGTTCAAACATTAAATCATCTTATAAAAATAGAAAATTAAAAGTATAAATGTCTATATATCTATATATATATATAGATATATATCAAATTAGTTTTTTACTATATACTTAACAATCAAGATGATTACTTATCCTTGTTTAGATTAGATCAATAGCTTACACTTATTTTATATTGGATTTATGAGAATAATAATTTAACTTATTTGGTTAGAAATACACATTTGATAGAATTCTTGCAAAACAATAAGAATAGAATATTGTTTATAATATGTAGCTTAATAAAAAAAAAAGTAAAACTTACACTTGCGATATATGATAAAAAATAGTTGTTGCATTCATAGTATGTCGTGTCAATTTTTTTCGTAATGTTTTGAAAAAGACAATATCTTCACATCATTCTTATGCAAATAATAGTAATATACGAATAAAAAAATTAACAAAATAATTAACCCTTTATGCCTTTTTTTCAAGAGTTATAATTGTATAATTTATGGACCCTGTTCAGAGTCTAGACTGCATTGAGACCCAAAGGACGATTGTTTTTGTAAAAAATGAACTACCTAAAAACCCTTATTTGACATATGGCAAATTAGCAATACCCTAATATCTATCTCATCTTATATTTTTAATTAATAATTATACTAGTACAACACACGTATATTACACGGGTGCTTGTTAAAAAATTATTCTTAACTTTTAAAATTAATGAGAAAACTATATTAAATTTAGTTTACTTTTTTACAAAAAAAAAAATATATTAAAAATATATATTTTAGAATGATATGTGTTACTTATGACTTACATGTGTTATATTATATTAGTTTTTATAACTTATATCATATAACTACTTGAAATATAAATATATTAGTTGATAAATAATTTTATTTTTCTAATTAATATTAAAAATTAATTTATTATTGTTATAAAGATAAATATAAATTAGTTTTTTAGACATACAATATGGATGTTAAATCGAAACTCATCAAAAGAAGATTAATTTGATATATTACATATGTAAAACTGATAAAAAATACAAAAGTAATTAACTTTTAAAATACATATACAATTCAATAGTTATAATAAGGAATGATATTAAAATGCAATTAATGCATGTAACATGACCATAAATAATCAACATATTTATGGTAATCCGAACCTAATTATTTTTGGTTTGGAATTAAATTAAAATTTACCCAAGCCTAATAACGAAGCATGTAATTTTGCCACATAGGATTTCGAAGCACCAGAAGCAGCCATTAGGCTCAGCGCGTTCTGTATTAATATATAGGAGAGATTACCTAAAAAAACTCTTTATTGATATATTTTTAATGCCAAATTAGTAATACACTAATATTTATTTAGTATTTAATTAATTAATCGTACTTACACTAACAAAACATTCTACATCTCTTCAAAACCAATCATAATATTTCACACCATTATTTTTCAGGAATTTGTTTTCTTCCACATATCTCTTAAAATGTTTCTTCCATATCTCAAAAAACTCAATTCAAAATTAACTTAAACAACACAACTTTAAAATGATACAAGATTGTTGTTTTAAAAAAGTCTTAACTTTTACTATAATTTGATTGATAAAACAATTTTTGCTATGAAACCAACCGTTGGCTCCATGGTGAAACAAATCTTCTATGTACAACACACACTAATTTTAATCAATAGAAGATACTTAAATTTTGACCGAAATCATACGCACGTGAAATATATACATAATCTAACAACCTTAAAATGGAATAATTCATTTACCTATTTCATTATTTAAGAAAAATAAACTATTTTTATTTAGAATTAGAATTGCACCTTAATTTTATCTTCAGCACAAAAATCCCTACTTGCCGTTTTGCGCCTTCTCCGCCAATCGCCGGGGAAACCCAGCCCTAACGCCGCTTCAAGGGTTTTGCTCTTCCCAAAATATCCACCGCCGATCATCCTAGCCTTCGCTCTCTCTTCGAACCGGAGCCTAACTTTCAATTCCCCCACACTTTTACCGGTTATTCGCTAGTTGTTTCAGCTACGATGTATTTCTTTGCTTTGTAGAGCTCTCTCTCATCTCACAGTTCGTCTCAGATCCCGTAAGTTTTATTAATGTATTATTCAATTTCGTACAATTCGTTGTTATGGCTACACGGTTCACCGTTACCTACTCGGCCTCCATGGCCGCAAACCTCTCTGCCGCCTCCGGCAAAGGCGGCGGCTCGCGGTTGTTTCACGGTATCTCAGAGCGATCTCGGATTTTTCAACACCCGTTGTTGGGAAAACCCGATCCGAGTTATTTCGGATTCTCCCGCCCTGGATTGGCGACTGATTTCAGAAGACCGATGCCGTTTTCCCAGGCGATTCTGTCTGGGGAAATTGCCGGAGGGAGGCAGTCGCCAATTATCGTCGGGTTACTCTCTCTGCTGAAGCAATCAATTGGGTCTTCTGGGGTTTCTTATGTTAAGGCGTCCTCAACCCTACCTTTCATTCATGGTTCTAAGTGGTTGCAATGCAAAGGGCCTGCAAGCGCAGAGGTGGACAGGGGAGAGGCACTTTTTGGTACCGAATCCCAGAGTCTGAGGAAAGGAACTTTGGAGACTCAGATTGCTGGTGGTGATGGCCTTAAATGTTCTGAAGCATTGGGGGCCATGGAGAGTGGAAGTGCAAGCAGTGTGAAGGTTTTGCAACAGAAACGTGGTGGTAGTAAGTCTGATAATAGTTGGCCTTTGAAAATGTTGAACTTCTGTTTTACCTCTAAGGATGCTAAGGCGGCTTTCACTGCCGTTAGTGTTGGCATTTTGTTCAAATCAACTTTGGCGGAGCCGAAGTCGATTCCCTCAATGTCTATGTACCCGACACTTAATGTGGGTGATAGAATTCTGGCTGAGAAGGTTTCTTATGTTTTCAGGAGTCCTGAAGTTTCAGACATTGTGATTTTCAAGGCTCCCTCATTTCTTCAGGAAGTTGGATTTAGTCCCTCTGAGGTGTTCATCAAAAGAGTAGTAGCAAAAGCTGGTGATTGCGTTGAAGTTCATGGTGGGAAATTGATGGTCAATGGTGTAACTCAAGATGAGGACTTCATCTTGGAGCCAATTGAGTATTTAATGGACCCCGTGCTCATACCGGAGGACTGCGTGTTTGTGTTGGGAGACCACCGAAACAATAGTTTCGACTCTCATAACTGGGGCCCACTGCCTATCGAGTACATTGTTGGTAGATACCTCTTCCGCTACTGGCCTCCATCAACTGTATGCGACACTCTTCACAGCACTCCCCAGCAATGGGGTGCTGTTGCAGTTTCGTGAGAACCCTCCACAACAAACTTCTTTCACTGAATTCTGATTTTTGCCTCGAAAATCTTACTCCCGCCCAACTGGGCTTGATCTTTGTACCTTCTGAATTCCCTATCACATGACTGCTGCAAATATTCTCTGGCTGGTTTTCAAAATCTCCCTCACGTAATCATTCAACTTTGTTATGCGGATCCAATCCAATCCAAACCACTCATCCTTCTAAGTATTTACTTGGTTTGCTGGTAGTCTCTGATCTTCAAACACACAAGGCACACGATGTTGGTGCCAACTGAGCTCTAGAGTTTTTTGGTTGAAGGTGGAGCCTAGACTGGTATTTTGACAATAAGGATATTCGTATTCGGTTGGGATACCATTGTGGCGCGATTGATTGGAGACTTGAAGTTTAATTTTTAGGTTACCAAGACTGTTTGATGTCTGGTGGGATTTACTTATTAGTTAGTCTTTTTTGGGGGTGATTTTGTGTAATGAGAATGGTTTATGACACAT